CATATATATTCACACACACACACATATATATATATACATATATATACATTTATATACATACATATATATATATATATATACATATATATATATAATATATATATATATACATATATACATATATACATATATACATATATACACACACATATATATATATACATATTGTATATATATATATATATATATATATATATATATAGATATATATGTATATATATATATATATATATATATAATTATATATATATATATAAATATATATATATTATAGAATGAGTGCACACCTGATTGACATATCGCCATGCGGTAGTACTCGTTGGGATCATACCACAGGTTGATAGACAGCGATGGAAAGTAGTCAGCGAGTAGCTTCAGGCCACCATGCTCAATTTCTCGTGCTCAGCACCCGTTGCAAAATAAAGACCACCCGAATCTGATTCGAGGACTCTAAACCAATTTGGGTTTGATTAGTGGTACTTCACGACTTAAACATAAATACCCTATTCACCTTTCGATATCTTTAGCGTTTTACTATTTAGAGGTAAACTACGCTTTCTTCGGTCGGAAATTTACGGTGTTGTCAGTGATATCCGCTTTCACCGTAGGACTGTTCTGTATCAGAAACTCGGAGCAGGCCCCAATCCTGGTGTGTATTTGTGGTGGGATAGGAATATTCTTAAATGCGTGTCTGAAAGCAAACATCTGTGCAGTACATTGGCGTACATGCTGGTCTTGAAGTAACACGTTGTGGAGTTAGATTGAATGCATGTAGCCATATTACAACTACCTACCAATTTAGTAGCAAACGTGAAATGGAGATCATATATCAAGGGCTAAGTATTGGTTTATCAAACACGCAATCAGGTAAGCCTGGTCTCTATTGCCTGACCCGAGGTAATGATTTCAGAGAGTGCACACGCATTCATTATATGTATTGTCTATAAACACTACTAATAGTACTAGCTCAACTAGTAGACACGGCCAGCACCATGCAGAGTATCTGATGTGGTAACTTACGCGGACATACACAGCACCTCCTTCATATAGTTCAGGTCCAGGACTACATACGCCTTCCGGAAGACCGCAAGCGCTTTCTTGCGCAGAATGTCCGCGGATTTCTGGTAGTAAGGATGGCGAAGAATCAGGAACAAACCTTTGAAACGATTTTGATCTCGCCTTGAACATCGGGTGAATACCATGATTGTTATGTAATCGTAACTTGCTGTATCCATGCCATACCCCACAATATATTCCGACATTTTAACAGGCTCATTTTAACAGGCTCGAAACGTTCACACCGCACTCATCTTGCCACTGTTCGAAATCTAGGTCTATATTATTGTAACAATATGTACAACATTTCAGACTAGAAGGGATAGTGAGTGAACATTCACACCGTTGATAGATTCTGGTGACATGCACAACCTACCAGCATCAACGTTTCCCTTCGACCAGTCAAGTGCTTCAACAGTGCGAAGAATTGAAAGTAGTCTGAGCCCTCCACAGCTTGCACAGCTCGCAGACTCGTTCGTATACCATCAGTCTACAGTGTAATCGATGCTTGAATGAGGTGCCATATTCACTACCACATTTAGGTTTAAAATCGCTGAGCGGGAAGACAGAAAAATATACACAGCACACAGCTGGCTGTCCGATCGAACACAACAAATCAGTCGCAATGAGAAATATTGGCACTCCATTGCCACACTGGAGCGAAGGGAATGCAGTGTTTGGTGATAAATGATTTGGGTCTATTCCATGTGTATGGATGATATACCCTTAGATACGGCGATGGGATCTGTTGAGTGATCGATAACACCTCTGAAATAGCCTCTAAGTAGCAGCCGCAGTATGTAATCAGCTCCGCGTAGCATTTGATCCACTGTCTTTCCAGCGACGTCTTATCATCGTCCTGTACATTTCTGTGTGAGGTACGATATTTCTCGTGGTTAGCATACGTCATCGGAGATAACTGGCAGCACTATGGCTGACTTGTAGGCCAAGGCCACTATACAATTCACAAGCCACAAGCAAATATGATAATATGTGGAAGCATGATAATAAGTGGAAAACGATTTTGTACACGTTTGTGCGCTAACTTTCAAGCCTAAGACTTAAGAAGCGAGTCCTCTATCACCATATCGCACCATTCAATCGAGGCGCCCTGGCCACCTCATTGAATGCAAATCTAGCTCATACGGCAGGGGCACGAGATACACTCAGATGTATTGGTATTCATAGTCAGTTGTTCTACTCTCACACTTTAGTATAGCCACAAGGCATTAAACTTGGTTTCCAGGAGCAAGCAAAAACTTTAAGCAAAGATGGATTAAGCTCCCACTACGGAGAAATAAGCCAGATGGAAGTGCGTGTGATTTCAGAGACTATTGTAGTGAACCACTCAAAAACAGATTGTATTGATCATTTATGTTTTAGCTTTCGCATATAAATAGATACAAAATCGCTGCAGAAAGCACAATATAGCTGCCATCATGACACACACACTCGTGCACTGCAGCACTACGGGCGAACACAACCGACTTCTAACCACAAATTGCGACTCGAAAACAGAAAATCATCAACAATTAGATCGATAGAGTCGTACACGAGCAATGATAAAAATAACAATTCGACTTGCGAGCGAAGTAGAACTTTTACGAGAAAGCATACGAGTCATTTGTCTACACGCGCATACAGGAAGACTCCACACCAGGTTGCTGCAGCAGAGAGTATGAATAGATAAAATGTACAGATGTATCCCAACATTTTGCGCAAGTATGACTGCAGGATGATGTCAAGTATGCTTACTGTTTGATAGATCAACTTACGAGGAGACCATCACCTCGGGATAGAGAGTGTACGTGAGGTTGACAACGCACACGTGGTACTCGGACATGTCGTCAGCCTCGAGTGCAACGGTAGCAGCATTCTCATACACTATGCAATATTCATAGTCCATTGAAACAAATGTGCACAGTTTGAATACCAGGTTAGAAGGTAATGAAAGCAAACGCCTCTTCGAGGACTTTCTCAAATACAACGCTTATCACCAAACGAATGAACAACAGAGCCGATATGCCTGGAAGAAGCGCAGCTCACATCCACATCAGAAGAGATGTACTGAACAGAAAAGCGTTGCACGATTGCCTTTGACACAATGCTACGCACCTTTGATGACGAATGGATCGACTCGTTTTGTGGCCATGATAGCTTCCCGCAGCTTTCTAAACAACACTAAACTGTCGGCGTAGTCACGTGCGGTTGGGTTCAAGGGTAGCCCTTGAAGCTATTTTGACATATGGTAGGTATGGTAGGCAAACCCATGTGAAAAGTTCTATCAGCAAGAGTAAGCCAAGAGCAAAGGAGCACTACATACGCATGGAAAAGCAGCACGCCCTGATTGGTGTCCCAGTCTATGGTGATAAAAGCCCAAGAATAAATAGCCCATGGGGCTGAACACAGGATCAATGCGCAGAATGTTAACGATGACCGTTCACGCACGGCAACCCGAGTGATACACTACCTCAACGATACCATGAGAGACCTTTCGACCATTGATAGAGATAGATATATTGCCCATTTTTCGATCGGTATTGTACATGTCAGCGTATATACTAGGACCCTTGGATGCGCATATTTGAATGGTGGTAGGTATGGGCATTTATATCATGAAGCAAATAAGAAAGAAACTGTCAACATCGGCGGAATAAACGGGGTCATACATTTCTGAGAATTACGAATAGTCAAGATAGTAAGAGACGTCACTCATTCTGACGGGCTTAGTGAATGGCGCTGTTTGTAGTATGGACGAGAGTGCAGCGTGAAACAAGAAGGCGCGCCCACTAAGTAAATCAGGTGAAGTGGTGCATGGCACAGGCTTTCCGATGTTGCAAAGGGTTGCGATTTAGTTGATAGCAAATTTGAAGTAAAGTGTAAATGATAGAAAGCATTTCTAGGCATCTTCGTGTGCACCAAAGTAGCGACAATTCATTCCTTACCCAAATACTCGACACCATTTGTGAAACCAATAGGATCTCGATATACCACCAGATTGTGCTAAATGTGTGTGACGAATCTACTACCTTTGTACATGACATATGCACACCCAACATATCTGGAGAATATACCGGTAACAATATACATACATCTTGTTAGGTACAGTACGCTACGTTGTACCAAGTAAGTATACGCACGACTACAGGGAAGTTCAGATACACCATATGTGTATGTGGCGATTCTATCACATGCATGCCCATTTGTTTTCCAGGACAGTTATTGCAGCATCACTCTTACATGGAAACATACACCACGTACTCCTGGAAGTAGACAAAATAGAACATTTCGGAGTGGCATGCACTTCTAGTAGAATAGGATATACAGCCCACGAACCTAGATTGCTTCTCATATATTACACGGGCTAGATAACATATACGTTCGTAGTTCGTACTTGATTTCTATAGTGAAGCAATGTAACTAACGTACACCATCATCGGAACTGTATAACCCCCAAAGTCCACTCAGGTGCCTACATACTCGAAAGAAGTATATATGACACGTATAATCCCAACACTTATACATCTACACATACTTTGTCCTGAATTATTCCATACACCGCTTCCTGTACACCAAAGTCTTTCAGGTTTCCCCCAGAAGCATCGCCATAGTCAAGTTTGCTAATGAAGCGAAGATCGGCTACCTTGACAGTTCCTGGCATACCCGGTCATGAATTCAAAGCTCACAGTTTTAGACACTGTCTTCTTATGAAGACTGATATCCATGATAGGGATGATGAGGAGAGAGTTCAAAAACCTCAACAAGCACAGAATTCAAGCATATTGCCAACAATAACGATGAGATGAACGTCAGCGCGAAAGCATGTAAAGGAGCGGAAATAGGTAATCAATTTCTAGGCCATCGATAACAAAAATGAAGATTGATTGATGATGTGGTAGTGTCCTGGCTTACATGAAGGTTGATTGATGATGTGGTAGTGCCCTGGTTTACACAAGGAGGTGATGACAAGAACACAAAAATATTGAGCGCATGGAAAGAAAGATAGCCACATTGGCGAGGACCCATATGTTTGACCTAGCAGGTTGTGTTTTGGATTCAAGAGCGCCTAAGTAGAAACAATAATGCGCACACGCACATGCACTCTGAATACGCCGCTCGCAGGCAACGAGATGGTGCATTGATATCAGTAGTGTGCGAGGAGAGTCGGTCAAAGGTTCAAGACAGCCCCATAAGGACCTATGAATGACGTAATCTGAGTAGCTTAATGTAGTAATATATAAACCTACTACTCCCATAAATATCGAACTACCTACAACTCGGCTTCTACACACACACACACACACACAC